TTCTGTACAATTTTCCAAAGGGTATATATGTGGTCTATGGTGCTAAAATCTTTTCGGAAACCGGCTTGTTCGGGAGGCTGGAAGTCGTGGCGTCTGCATGCGAGACGATTCGTAATGACTCTCGAAAACAGCACCTAGACGCGGCTCAGAAGGGAAATCGGTCTGTAGTTCTTCAAGCCACCGTTGTTGCCTTTCTTGAAGAACAAGACCACCGCATTTCTGCTCCACGCCTTCGGTGTAGTGCCATCATGAAGAACGGAATTAAAGACCTTTTGAAGGACTTCAAGTACCGGTTTTCCACCCGCTTTCAGAAGCTCCGCTGTAATTCCATCCTCGCCTGGGACCTTGCCTTTTTTAAGGTGCTGGAGTACCATTCTCATCTTGCTCATACTGACGTCCGGAATATCATCGGAACAGTGTCGGATAAGACTTGCTCTTGGATCGTTATTCACACTTGCGTGTGGCTCCAAGGATGATATGTACAGCTGCCCATAGAACCTCTCAATCTCATTCAAATTCTCAGGTGTCTTCAGCTTCGACAGTTGGCTCTTTCTGGCAGACAGATCTCTAGTAAAGACTTTGGAGCCCTGGTTCCACTCGATCGCTTCTGCAATACCAGCTGTAAGTCCGCGACTCCGCGTTAGTCCCGTAGCATGCATTTGGAGATCTGTCTGTTTAATTACCTGTATGCTGTCAAATCTACTGAAGACTGCAGCTTCATTTCCCGTCCAACAGCCATGAGATTAAGAGTGAGATTGGAGAATTTTTGTGTTCTTCTGGGACGGGTCTTGCAAAACTTAGTTCCGACTACATGGACAGTTTCCAGGAGCTTGTTATTCATATCTTCCACTGCATTGCAATCTTCTAGGCACTGAAAACGGTTTTCTAGCTCGAGATGACAAACATTTCGGGACTTTCGAACAGAGCACGAGGGGGACGGAACGTTGACTTCATTAGCCGTAACCTCTCCAACTTGACGTTAAAGTTCAGTGTGCCTCTCACCATTCGGTGATGGCTGCCGGTTTTCACCCTCAATCACTGAGACATCACTGAACAGTTGTCGTCTGGTCCGTGAACCGTCGGGGCTCGACCAGGTCCACTTCCTGTGGGGCCGCTTCTGGAAGAAAGAGTTCATCATAAAGAGTCCCTCTTTCTCCATGAAGTCGGCCACCTGCTGTCCTCTTGAGTTCCGTTGCCCTATTCTAAATTTCCCTACCTTCAACTCACCGTTCTCTCTTGTGCCTAGTTTTGCGTTGAAGTCTCCCATTAACACCGTATTGTGGGTTTTGGAGGAATGCATGGCTCTAGATATCTTCATGCATGTCCCCCACCTCCTCATCAGGATGTGCCAAGGTTGGTGCGTAAACCTGTATGACCTTCAGCTAATACCGTTTGGTGATTCTGAGTATAAGGTAACGTTGTTAACGAGATACTTGTGGACGATAAATCCAACACCACCTTGGAACAGATGGTCGCTCTCCCGGTGATAGAACAAGTTGCCGGATTCAAAGATTGCCATGTCCTCCCCCTCTCTTCAGAACTCAGATAATCCTATAATATTCCATCGCAACTTGTCTACCTCTTCTTCCAGATCCAGGATCTTTTCGTCAGTCCTCAGGGTGCGTGCGTTGTATGTTGCGAGGTCGAGCCGTCTTAGGTGGCAACCGAACCTCCGCCGGAGATTCTTAGCAAACCCTGCCCTGCCGTTACCGTGGTCACCACCGTAGCCAGGAAGAGCGGGGCTCCCGGGGACTGGCGGCCGTCTCTTCGTAACTTTAATCATTAGGGGTATATTGCCATAGTTGCCACGCTTGGCGAACGGGTTGGCAACCTGTTTTTTTCTTGTTGTTTTGCTGTTATCAGAAAGATGTTGCTGCCCATCTTCTGACTCTCTTCCCCTATGTCGCCTCTTTTTTTTATAGGAGAGGGGGCAAACGAGCATGCGGCTCACCTGATGGTAAGTGACTACCGCCGCCCATGAACAACTGCAACACCAGGGAGGGAATTGCAGATGCGTTGCCGTCCTTTTAAAAAGGAGTACGCTCTTTTCTTGAAGGTCCCTAAGTCGTATCGGTCCGGAAAAATCGCTGATGGTAATCGATTCCACAAGGAAGTCGTGCGAGGAAGAAAACATCTTCTAAATCGCACAGTGGTGGACCGCCAATCATCCAGATGGTGTGGATGGTATCGGGAGTTCTGCCGCGATGTGCGTTCGTGAAATTTGGCGGCTGGGATTAATCCGAACAATTCCTCAGAGCACTCCCCATGATAGATGCGAAAGAAAATGCAAAGGGATGCAACATCTCTTCGCAGTGCCAATGAATCGAGCTGATCGGAAAGGGCTCGGTCGTTGACGATTCGAGCCGCTCTGCGCTGGATGCGGTCAAGTGGAAGGAGCTGGCACTGGGGAGCCCCTGCCCAGAGATGGGAACAGTATTCCATGTGAGGGCGAACCTGTGCCTTGTAAAGTTGCAGGCGGTGTGCCGGCATGAAATACTGTCCCGCTCTGCTGAGCACGCCAAGCTTTTTAGAGGCCAAGTTGGCCTTCTCTTCCAAGTGACCACGAAACTGCACGTCACTCGATATGTCGACTCTGAGGATACCGATACTGGCTGAGGCAAAAAGGGGAGTGCCTTGAAACTGAGGAGATACGACAAAGGGGTTCTTTTTAGCGGTAAACGCGCAAACTTCTGTCTTCTGAGGATTAAACTGGACTAGATTTAGTCGCCCCCAATCCGAGACTTTTTCCAGCAAAGACTCGACTTCAGACACAAGTTTGTTCCGGTACTCGGTGACGTTTTCCCGAGAAATATTGGCACGACCGGTGTATAGAGCATCACCAGTGCTGTCATCCGCATAGCAATGAATGTTACCAGTTAGCAACATATCATTGATATGCAGAAAAAACAGCGTTGGTGATAGCACACAGCCTTGTGGAACACCAGCGTTAATAGGCTTGTAGTCAGAACATGCACCGTCTACAACGACCTTGATGCTCCGATCTGCAAGGAAGCTGGTGATCCAATTGCACAATTTCTCGGGAAGCCCATAGGAAGGGAGCTTCGAAAGAAGCGCTTTGTGCGAAACCCGGTCGAAGGCCTTCGCAATGTCCAGACTAACGGCCAACGCCTCCCCCTTGGACTCTACTGCCTCCGCCCATCTATGGGTCAGGTAGACCAGAAGATCACCAGCTGATCGACCCCGACGAAAACCGTATTGGCGGTCACTAATCAGCTGGTGATCCTCAAGGTGATCCTCTTACTACACTCACGGAAAGATATGGGGTAGTGGGTATTCTTACCCGCTACTACACGGGGCTTAAAATTACCTACATGGAATACAATACAACAGATATAATATGTTTCAAAGAAGAAAAGGTTTGTGAAGTACTTTACTATTTCATCCCAAAAATACAATAACAATTAATATATAAATAACACAATACATGTATAATAACTAATAATAATAAGTATATAAATATACTATAATACTACAATGTTATATTAGGCTTCACAACGATAAGTGATTATATCACTTTTCTTTTCCTGCAAAACAAATTACAAATACGAGCAAATTGTGTATTTATTTTTACAACACCATACCATAGCTTTGAGCTTTAAAAGTAATATCCCTGTTATAAAAACGGATTCAGTCTATTTTCTAAAGAAAAAACCACCAAGAGAACCGTCCAAGAAAACTAAAGCAAAATATGGCAATTTCAGTTACAATGCATCTTTCCTTGCAAGTTGTTCAGAAGGAAGAAAAGAAGACAAGATATTAAAAAAGTATAAACACATATGAGTAAATTGACAGGTCCGAGAAATTACAATTTTTTGAGTTCCGCCAACCAATCAACTCTAAAATTGTCTTTAAGTTTTTAGTACTTATATATACTTGTAGCAATTTTCAACAAGCATGGCAAAGAAAATTATTAAGTGTTTATCTCACCTTGAAAAGGTTGTTTATTGTAGAAACCACCGCTAAAACTTATCCTCCATCTTCTTTTCTTGTTAACCAGCCCATAAACAGTCTACAACTGGACATTGGCTTCATCGTGTGGCACCTTTGACGTTTTGCGGTCATTTAACATCTGGTGTACTAACGATGGTTAGACCACCACCTGTCGGGGTCCATGACATCTTTCTAATAAAGATATATACAGCTAGTGTTTTGATATATGTAGCTGAAATGGGCGGTCATACTTAAGATACAAGTACTCGATCAAGATGATTAATTAGGATGAGGCATTCGGGAAAGTAATTCAAATCTTTTGAACGATAACAAGGAGAATTGATTAAAAATTTACATCGATATCCATACTTATATAATACGTTGTATTGTAAACAATTGGCATAACTCGTTATTTGTTATAATACACTTTATTAAACAATCGAATACAAATGACACGCAACGCTTAAAATCGCCAGTTTTACGTTTGAATTCATTTTTAAAGCTAGTACGTAATAAATGTTACTTGCCATGTCGTTTTCCGAATCTATTATGAAGAAGTATCCAAGTAGACCATTTGCGTAGAAAATAACATTGGCCATTTATGAATTGGCAAGTATTTAGTAATTTGATAATATCTACTTCATTCATAATTTTTAATATATGAAGGACTTTAGCAACAAGTTGAACTGCGTATTTAGCACTTCAGCAATGCATTAAGGTAATTGTTAATTAATTGCCTGACAGAAAAACATCCTATTTTAGAAGTTTCACTTTCAGTTGCTGAAGGTTACGATTGCAGTAAAGGGATGTATTAGTATGTGTATATAGGTTTCCTGTTCCGTTTGTACCAGCTCGAGCATGTTTACAGTCGGTTCTTACATCAACTAATAATATTCTAATAGGTTGCCACTGTACGCCTATTTAGAATTGTTAATTTGATTGTAATATTTTTAGCAAGGTATAAAAGCGAAAACATATTTGTTATAGGCATAATTGCAATCAGCTTAACCCGGTGGCGCGTCGTAAGGAACTAAACAGTAAGCATAGCGATGTCTCGACTTACGGTAAGAATTTTATATCGACTAAAAAGACAACTTATTATTAATAGTAATAATCCTATTTTGAAGTAATAATCGTTTCACCGCTGCATTGGAAGACGTTTTCTAGCTAGTGAAGGATACGGTATTAACATAAACGGCGATTACATCACTCACCATCGATTTGTCGACGATATAGCCCTTATGGCAGAATCTCTGGAGGATCTAAGCACTATGCTCAATGACCTCAATAGTACCTCCCAACGGATAGGTCTTAAGATGAACATGGACAAAACATAGATCATGTATAACGTCCATGTCACACCTATGCCGGTGGTTGTTGGGAGCACTAAGCTCGAAATTGTTGACGAGTATGTTTACCTGAGACAAATAGTCCGACTAGATAAGTTCAACTTCGACCGAGAGGTCAATCACGGATTCAACTCGGCTGGCCAGCGTTCGGGAAATTACAGCACATCTTCTCGTCAGCTATACCTCAAACTTTGAAAAGGAGACTATGCAACCATTGCGTGTTTCCAGTGATGACCTATAGAACTGAGACACGGTCCTTCACTGCTGGCCGTATGAGGAAGCTCGGGGTTTCTCTGCGTGGTAAACTTAGAAATGAGGATATCCGCAGTAGAACCAGAATGACGGACATAGCCCAACGGATTAGTAAGCTGAAGTGGCAATGGGCCGGCCATATAGCTCGAAGAACGAACAACCGATGGGGAAGAAAAGTCCTCGGGTGCCGAGTCTGGCACTACTGATATGCAAAGTGTAGAGTGGCCCCCACTAGATGGAGTGACGATAGGTGGCTCAGGACCTTGCTTTGTGGCTTTCCTTGGGGGAGGCCGATGTTCAGCAGTTGACTTGTGAATGGCTGGAATTTAAATTATTATTACATATTAAATTAATCATTTGTAAATTTAAATTATGCCTCATTATTTGTTATAGAAATCCCTGTATGTAAGTAAGCGTGAACAAGACGATTTCGAGAACAATTAAATTATTAAGTTTTTCAGTAAATCAATTCTGTTTGTTGTTACAGTGTCATTTTTTAAATAAATTTTTTGTTTTCAGATTCTCTTTGTCCTCGCCGTGGCGTGTGAAGTATTTGGAGATGGTGAGTGTTGATTTTATATTTTAAATGTAGGTACATTACATATATGTAAGCTTGTACGAATATTATAAAGTACCTACTCATATAACTTTTTTAATAATCATAGTTGTTTTTATTACAATCACAATTTTAACTTTTTATAATGACATGGGAATAATTTGAACTCCTTTTCTATAGGTGTAGGAAAAGACGCCAAAGATTCCAAGGTTGCTGCATCTGGGCTGTATTCAAATATCATTGGCTCGGGTCTGGGTGGTGGCCCACTCATCGGTGGCGGGTCAGTAGTTGCCGGCCCCGGTCTACCTAGCGGTGCAGCCCTTAACAATGCCGCTGCAGTAGGAGCGGCACAACTTAATGCCATTCAAAACGCTCAAGCCGTACAAGCCACCCAAATTGCGAACGCCGCCGCCGCTGCCATCCAAGGTGCACGAGCTGCTGAAGCCGAAGCCCGTGCCAGACAAGCCAACGCTATTCAGAACGCCCAAGCTTTAGACGCTGCACGTGTTGCCAACTTGCAGAGGGCTCAAGCCGCTGCATGGGAGAATGCTAAATTTATTGAAGCTGCAAGAAGAGCAGGAGCCGCAAGTGCCCTTGAAATCGCTCGTGCTGCCGAAGCAGAGCGCAACGCTAACGCTGCGCGTGCCCAAGCCTTAGCTTACGCCAACATGCGCGCTGTAGAGGCCTCCCGCATAGCTAACGCAGCCAGAGCTCAATCGGCTGCGGTTGCTACTAGTGCTGCTCAGGCACAAGCCGTCGCTGACGCTGTAGCTAGGAACGCCCAGGAAGCTCTTCACGATGGTGGCTCTGGCGTCATCGCTTTAGTTCCGGCCTCGGCTGGCTACTATTTCGGACCTACTTTAGCAGGATTTGGCAATTATGGTTACGGGCAAGCTTGGGGCCATGGCGGTGGTGCCCTTCTAAGCAAGCACTAAACAGTGAACATTAAGTGATATCCTCAATGTATAATAGACAAAGCATAAGACTTCCATATTCATTTCTTCTCTTCAAGCAAAAATGATAAGCGGTAAATAAAATGAGAACTGATTGTGTAAATATTACTTGACTCAATAAATTCAACTACTGCATCGAAAATCGCTGTCTTATTTATACTTCTTTTATAATTTTCTTTAATATCAATACTGAAAAATGTTAAATTAACGGGTATAATTATTTTTTTCAATTACAGAATTTGAGACACACACATAGTATAAAAATCATTCATCAATCTAAATTCAAATTAAGAAGCAAAATTAAACCAATTATAAAATGCACTAGTGTGGCACGCAGTAGCACGTGTGGTGTTTCGATGGATGTATGATGCTCAAGACTGCAGTTTTTACAGTTAATACCGTCAGTCTTGATGCTTAAAGTCAGTCCTCTATAAGACTTCTTTCTGTATTTTTGTAGAAAACGGTGTAAACAAGTATTCCGCAATCCTGATGGTAAGTGACTGAAAAACGCATGAAGACCATGGACCCTTAAGTTTTCCTACTTTTTATAATATTAGCTTTCTAAATCCATTAGACTGGTACACGAAAGTAAATGTAGAGTAACGTCAAACGTCAAAAAGTAAAACCAGGTTGAATGTCACTAGAGCGAAGCCATGGGCAAAGTAGTAATTCAGACAAAATGGAAACAGAACATATTCCATTTTATAATTACAATAGATGCCTATTTAATTATTCATCTTTCCATTTTATTACCGACAATAAGAAATGACAACAAGATAATTATGATAAGTACATAAACATAATATGTCATAATTGTAAGCACATAAGGTCATGTCATGTCAAGATATATTTTACAGATAACAGATATATAAAAGCTTCCCATCTTAACCGATGGCTCCATTACTCTCAAATACCTCAACCCATTTGTAAGTTGGAGATATGGCATTCAAAGTGAGTATTAAAAGTTAATAAATAGGATGCTCAGAAAAATATATACGTGGGTTATTTTAAATATATTTTATTGGTCCATAATTAATGTCGTAGATTCATAGTAGATTGTTTCATAGTTTTTAATACTTACTACTACTCACTCAAACCCGCAGGAGTTGATCTGGGTTAGTAATACCCTTTTTATTCCGGTTTGAACGGTAAGAGAGCCAGTAAAATTATGGACTATGAAACATTGCTTTGAGTAGGCGCAGGGATGACATGACTTAATTTCTCTCTCTCCATCCCGTCATCAGACGAGCAGACACTCAGCCAGTCTAGTGCGTATTGCGAACGATTTGTATCGACGACGAACGGCGTAATGCGTATAGATAGCAAAGGAGTGGAATGATTTCTAGCGTGTCTTTCCATGTGATTACAATGCAGGTGTTTTTAAGTAAATACGATAAGTCAGTGCACTTTGCCATTTTCGGCTGCATCACCACTTACCATCATACCATCAAGTGGGATAGTCGTCAAGCACTGACTTATAATTTTGTATTGATAAATATATCAGCATTACGTTATTTTTAATTTTAATATTCGGTATAATATATTTATATTTGTGTTTTTATTTAATTTAATAATTTTGGAAAGCATACAGCTAATATATCAAGTAATAAATTAAGTCGAGGATGAAGGCCAATAGAGGGGTATTTTTTTTTGATAGAACGTGATATTAATTAAAGTATAATTTTACAGATTGCTGCTTTGCTTCTAGTTATGGTTGCTCTCGGTAACGGTGAGTATAAAATTTGAAAATATATGTAGCAGATATATAGAGTATATTAACATTAATGATGAAAAAATTAATAATCAGATATCCGTGTGCAATAATAAAATAGTGTGTTTATGGAGGTATATAAAAGATAAATAAAATTTGTAAATAAAAATAAATAGTAGGATAAATTATGAGAAATTAATAAGAAGATATCCGCGTGCAAAAATAAAATGCCGTGTGTTTTTGGAGGTATATAAAAAATAAATAAAATTTGTAAATAGAAATAAATAGTAGGATGAATGATGAGAAATTAATAAGAAGATATCCGTGTGCAAAAATAAAATGCCGTGTGTTTGATAGCTTGTTTAAATCTTTGAAGTGCACCTTTCTCCATGCCACAATCGCGTGCACTACCAGAGAGAATGGATCACCTTTTGGGTTTATTTATGACTGTGATCCGCACTAGTGCTTGGATCTTTAGTAGCTATTACAGTTTTATGCGAAACAACAGATTCTGTTAATTATAGTATTTAGTAGAAAATTAGCCTTTCCTTTTGTTAATATTAATCTGCTCTTTGGTTAGCATTACCTATAGAATTCTTTTTGTTTCAATAATAACAAGTTACTCTGCTATTACCTTTCCACAGGTCACCCGTACGGTGGCGGTTATGGACAGGGAGGACAGGGAGGACAGGGAGGACAAGGTGGGTTTGGTCCCGGAGGTAACCAAGGAGGCTATGGTCCCAGTGGTGCCCAAGGCGGCTATGGTACAGGTGGTCAAGGCGGATTTGGACCAAGTAATCAGGGAGGTTTTGGATCTGGTAACCAGGGAGGATTTGGACCCGGCGGCCACGGAGGACAAGGAGGATTCGGTGGTCAGAACGGCTTTGGATCTGGAGCCGGTCAAGGTGGTTACGGCGGTCACCGTGGCGGATATCAAGAGCACGGATATTAGTTTGTAATGTTTATTATTAAAGACTAAGTTATTAATCCTTTTTATTATTTATCATTTCGTTTATTAAATACCTTATAACATTAAATTGGGAGTGTTGGCGCAAGATTTTTCAAAGCAAAGTTTAGCGTTTAAATTATAGTTGGAAGTGCTTTTGGATACGCGATTTTGTGTGTTAAGTGACTGCGCATGCGAACTTTATCCATTAGTGGGAACGAAGAAAAAAGTGCTTCGAAGTTGATATTAAACCTTAAGTTACTTGTCCGCTTAGGCAGTACGCGAGCAACCCGGGTTCGATCCTCGCCAGCACCACTGAAATTGTTAATTTTCTATATTAAAAAAAAGTATCATCCGTCAAGCAAGATGCAGAAATGTACAAGCTTGATTATAAATATGGTCTCTCTTACATAGGACAAACAAAAATATCGATAAAAAACACGCCTAAAAGAACATACAGCTGACGTGAAAGACAAGATTCTAATTTCAATAGAAAAGATGGCTGGGTGATACCATCTGCGTGAGATCCTATATAGTAAATTAAATTCACTCCAAGCCCAAGCATACCGCTGCAAGACTTAAAGATACTATAAGCTCGTTCTGTTAATTTAATATTCAAAAGTTAGAGATAGATATAAAGATAGTCCGGGCTAACTGTGATATTGGAACGTCAAACACCTCAGCCCCATCCCCTCCCCGTGGAGGAATGAGGGGGGACAGAATTAAAATTAAGTAAAATAAGTTAAATCAAACGCCATAAAATTCGTAAAATTAGTTTTATTTAGATGATTTTTTTTAAATACATAACAGATAGATATAGAAACAGAAATTTTTTATTCAATAAAGATTTTAGATAGTACTTAATGAAAATCACTCTTTTGTTTTATTACCACTGGTTCTGAAAATATTAAATAGTTATGGATATCATACATATATATTATGTATATTAATAAAATTGAAGTAAAGTAACCATTTTGAAATTGTATCTATCTATCTGCCGGGACTAGTCTACGGAATCGCTGAACCGGTTCTGATGAAATTTAACAAACACTGAGAGCAATGCCAGGAGTGATATAGGTTAAAGTTTATAAGGCTTGTAAATTTCTTGTGAAATAGAAAAATAGATAAGACCATTGTATTTTATGTACTTCGTACTAGAGAAGCCATTCTAAACAAAAATGTGCACTACTCTATGTCTTCGCGCATGCGCGGGAGATAGTAGAGTCGCGCATACGCAGTTGCGCCACCACAGACTAACTAGTAAATTGAAACCACAATAAATAACACACTGTACGGATTGCAGTACAGTTCAGTTGAACATAGTGTATGTTCGGAATGCTAAATCTAAATACACAAGTAAACACAAGCACACGCACATACACACACACACACACACACGCACGCACACACACACACACACACACACACACACACACACACACACACACACACACACACACACACACACACACACACACACACACACACACACACACACACACACACACACACACATACACACACAAACGCGCGCGCGCGCACACACGCTTAATCTTTATTATCTTATAAGTATCAACAAAAAATTGTTATGGAAGAGCGGGGTCCCCTAACACAGGTAAAGGAGACCCCAGCCTAGTTAATGTATTTAAATTTAAGATACTGAATAAAGAATTTTGAATTTTGAATTTTTGAAATCTAGTACGTAGTACATATATATCGATGGATAAAACAAATGGTCGTTGATGATTATCTTAAATATAAATGATGACATATTATATACTATGATATTGAGAGATACCACCCAGGTGAGCCGGGGTGGGTCTATTCATCCATCCATCCATTACAGCCTGTAAAAGTCCACTACTGAACATAGGCCTCCCTCATAGATTGCCTCATGAGGTGATATTGCCATAGTTGCCAAGCTTGGCAAGCGGGTTGGCAACCGCAGATTTATATTTTTTGAGTTGTTATCAGGAAGATACTGCTATCCACCTGCTGTTTCATTTTCCCTCTGTCGCCTCTTTCGACAACCTCGGGGCGACATTGGGTAGCAGATATTCTTCCACCGCCACCGCACCCGGTTCCGGGGTGGGTCACTATTTATTAATATAATGAGATTTAACACATTACTAATTCTTTGCCAAGGACTAAAAATGCTGGAGTGTAGCCGGTTGTTTCGTTCACTGATTTATTTATAAACAATTGGATTTTTGGAATATTAACTGCCCACAAACGATTGTCACCATTAACAAACCTAGAAGTGCCTTCTTGTATGATTTTATTCTACCTTTCTACGGTATTCCGAGAGATGGAAATAGTTTATAA